ATTGTCAACATGTGCGCAGTTGTGCCGCGTCTCGGAGTGGATGAACTTTGTTACGTTGGGGGGGGGGGGGGAGAAATTGAACTCCGCCATTACAGCCATTACGCCGAAGTTTGTGGCGCGTATTTGCGGAGATATTTGACAGGCTCGCAACACGAACCTCCATGTACCCCACTACTTTGTGGGTCAAACTGTTAAGTCAAAGGATAGAAGGCACCTCAAACAAAACCACTCCTTCGGAACGGGCAGTCGGGGAGCAACATCTCCCTTCTGGATCACGTCGATAATACTCGCCCCTCTTCTCTCCTTCATATTTTTCGCTCCTATTCCCCTTATACTGAGCAAGAGTGTCGCTGACCTTGCAAATGCTACCATCGACACGTATAGATCTTTCATAAAACCTAGTCTCACTTCAAGTAACACTTTTAACGTCCGACCCGAAGCCTTAAGGATCACAATGCTGCCTTGTAATCCAAGGGCGCCGGTTCTAGTCTGCGTAGGAACCGGACGACACTCGCAGTATCTTTAATTCACGTGCGACTAGTGGTAGTTGAGCGGCAGCGAAACGTGCGTACTGCGTACTGGCGTGTTGCTAATGCCATCCGTTTCTTTTCTTTTAACGTCCACACTCTGGGGTAGATCGGCCAACAAGCAGTGTTTTGTGCCTGATTTTGCCAACCGCGGCAACAGAAAGAAAACACACCGGCTATGCACACAAACCCTATGTTCTCAACTCTGAGGCAAAGCACAATTAGCCGGGTGTTTAAAAACTCGCTCGTCCGTTCGATTGATCGACCGCACTGGGGCAGGCGATTTCTTTCACCCCAGCTTTCAGTCACTATCACAGGCAACACTCTCAGTATTCACTCCCTTGGCATTTCTGTGTGCCGTGTCTCCGAAATACGCATACAAGATAACAGTGTTCTGAAGAATCTTCGACTCCTTAGTTTTGAATATGACGACAATGGCCACACTCTTCGCATCTCCGTCGATATTAAGTCAATGGCTAAAAGTATTTACAGTGTTGGTATCGCCTTCAGCAGGTACCCTGAACTCACTATACGCGATAAAATACCGGTGAACTGCCGTATACGCGCGGTTGGGCTTCAAACCTATATTCGGGTAAATAAACCACGTCTGAAGATAATGTCCAGTTCAGAGGGTATCAATGGCGATTTCTATCAACAGCTATCCTCCCTTTTTTGCATGGCAAAGAATACTGATATCATGATTGTTGTTGGTGACATGAATGCTCAAGTGGGTGGTCTTTCAGAGTCCGAACAACACCTGGAAGGCCGTTGCGAAGTTGATGAAAGCCGATTCCTGCAAACGTGCGCTTAGTACAACTCTTACCTTAACAGTACTGTTTTCCAGCACAAATGCTCACACCGCGACACCTGGCGCTCGCCGCCTTCCTCAATGAGCTGGACCAAAAATGAGCATATTGCCATCACTTACAGATGGTGCACATCAACAACAGCAGTACATTAACCACTTCAACTGATGCTTCGCTGCCATACAATAATGATGGTCTATGGACTAAAGAATAATAAGAGGGAGAGGAGGACTTACCGGAAGACCTTAATGCCCTAAGCAAACATCCAGGGTCAAGGTGTCGACACCTTGTCAACAACATATCATTACAGACAGCCGGTTATCGTGCAAGGCAGCATAAGCAAGACACCTTCCTTGGGGCTTTCACTACCCCGGGTTATAAGCGATGATGCACATCAGCCCACGACTGTTGGTCAATTTGGAGCAGGTGCCTGGATTCTGACCATGCTCTAGTGCGCGCACGCTTGGCGCTGTTCCCGCTTCAAATAAGCGCCTAACTCCTAACCTTCTTACTTGTAACTTGAACTCGCAGTCTGCGGTTCATCAATAGCATTAAGAACCGCCTAAGACTTGTCAGTATTGAATGAGACAAGTGAAGCGGACGATGACTGGGATCGCTTCCGATGTGCCAGAAGAATGCCTTGACACATCGAGACATCATAAGTGTGAATGGATCTCTGGTGCACTGATCAGTTTAATCGAAGCGCGTGTCCGCAACACCCTGAAACGACGTCTAACAAGGATTCTTCGAATCGAGCGGGAACATTGGTGGGTGGCAAGGGCCTGTGAGATGGATAAAGACAGCGCTATTGGAAACAGCTGAGTGCTATTCCAGCTCATCCGGAACACGGGTAGGGTAAAGCCGTCAGTTAGAGAGATATTAGCTGAGAAAAATGGACTGTTGATCCATTCTCAGCCCGTTGTGTGGAACATTTTGAAGAGCAGTTCAGAACGCCTGCGTCATGGTCAGCTGTTCCGGGCTGCTAGGAAAGGGATGCTTGCCCCGTTAACAGTATCAGTGTCACCTCTGGTGGTCACATCACTGAGGAAGTTACTTCGTGTATCACAAGGTCCGTTTGCTTTTCCAGAGGCTTAACCAACTATGGATACGGCGGGATATTAGTCTGTCAGTGAAAGGTAGGGTGTATAAGGCTGCGGTAAAGCAGGTGCTACCGTATGGATAAGAGACCTGGCCAGTTCGCAGCGAAGACATCAAACGCCTGGTCGTGTTTGATAACCGGTGCCTGCGAGGTATTTCCCACTTCTGGTTAAGGCACCGGATGAGCAATGCTAAGGTTCGGCATTTGGTTTTTGACAAGAAGCCTTCTGGTGCTTCACTTGAGTGTTTGCTGAATCTTAAACGTTTACGTTATCGAGGTCATGTCCTCCATATGCCGGTTGACCCACTTGCTCGGGGTGCATTATGCGTTGTGACTGCACCAAGTTGGGCGAAACCGCGAGGTAGTAGATGCCGCGGCAAAAAGAAACTGATCGGAAGACTTAGTCAGAGTGTGATGGTAAGACAGAGATGGTCCACACTATTGGTTGGAGACTTTCACATATGGCGCAGTCATGCAGTTACTGCCGTCCTTGTATTCGGTTTGTTACATCTGGTTGTTAACTCACGTTCTGTTTTGATTGATCTAATGTACCTCGTTGCTTCTATTTTCTCTACATTCTGCTTGCATCCAACCCCACTATCTTCTTACTTCCGGTTCTTCTTACTGAGTAGTGGCAACTAAATCCCCGACACTTTGGTGCTCGGACTGTAGTTGTTCAACTGAACTGAACTGAACACACGATTAAACGGTAATATATTTGTACCAGTAGCATTGCTAATCCGCCATGCTGTAAGAACCGAGAGGATAAGGACAATAGCAACGCACTGTGATTCGAATTTGAACAGGTCTAGTGTTTTGAGTTAAGAAATTCTATGGGAGTTCGACGGCATCTAAAAAACTGGACAAACTTGTGAATGCAGAGACTGCGACCAAAGAAATGCAGTTTACGGTTTCTGCATGTTACAAGCGAAGAAAACTGAAAATATGACAATAGAATTGTTAGGGAGAGGAAAATCTTTTTGGAAAACAGTAATTCAATGGGAAAACAAGCTCTGTCAATGGTATACAATCGAAACATCAATTGGTTTCAGAAACGTTCGCGTCCATACGCGCACCAACCTTCCCATTGGCTATCGGAACTGATCTACTAATCAGGACAGCTGACCTAGCTGCTACGTGAAACTTCCATGGCTGATTTATAAAAATGCCCGTTGATTTCACACTACTTGTAGCCGTTTCGGTAGCTGGTTGCGCAACGCACTATTGCCTCCAAGCGTTGACTGATGATCTGAAGCTGGGGTTCGGAGTTACTAGGGTATGAATTCAGTCCAACCGGAATTGTGCAGACTGAAGTAAATCATAAAAAATGGCGATAGACAAAAGTGATAATGCAATGAATTTTTCTGCAGACCAATCTCAAATGATGTTACGGCAACAGCAGGCCCAAATGGAAGCGCAAATGAAGCTGATCGAAACCTAGACGCAGCAGCTCAGTTTGCAGTCTTCAGAAAGTTTCGCGGGCCAAGCAAGCAAGTTCAGTTGGTTTCCTCTCCAATTCCATTACTGAATGCAATTATGATCCTGATTCCGGAAGCATTTTCGATGCGTGGTTCAGACGCTGGGAGGGTATGTTCAGAAAGGATTTCGGCCGTCAAGACGACTCCTGGAAAGTGCGATTGTTGCTCCGTAAACTGGGCACAAATGAACATTTAAGATTCATTGATCACATACTGCCAAAACAGCCGAAAGACGTCAGTTTTGTTAAAGCGGCGTCACAACTTAGCGAAATTTATGGCGAGTCGTCATCATTATTCAACATTCGCTATCTTTGTACGAAAATCGTCAAACCGGACACAGACGACTATGGGGCACTGGCAGACAGTCAACCATGATTGTGAACGCCTCAATCTGCGCTCTTTATAGATGACTAATTCAAGTGTCTCATATTTATCGTTGCGTTACAGTCCCCACAGAATGCCGAACTCCGCATAAGAATACTCGCAAAGCTGGATCAAGACCCAGAAACGACACTGAAATCCATCACTGTCGACTGCAAACGACTGATGACTCTAATACATGACACCGCCATGGTCGGGAGTTCCTCTGTACAACCAGGAAATGTCCATTCCCCGACAGGTGCCAAACGAAACAGGGCTAATAGTTCCGCTCAGAACAGACCGAAACTGTCTGTTGGTCATGCGGTGAGTGACATCTCGCCCGATTCTGCCCATTCAAGAAGCCAGAAGTGCGATAAACGAAGCTACAAGCGTTGACTGATGATTTGCGGCTGGGTTCGGAGCTGGCAGGAAAGGAATTCAGCTCAACCGGAATCGCGCAGACTGAGGCAGATCATAACAAAAATGTGAAACCGACGGTCGGTCGCTTTCACTGAATTCAGAGCTCCGTGAGAAGAGTGTGGTTATCCAATTAGCTTCTCCTAACCAGGTGGATAAAAGGTGTGGTTTCTAGCGCAGGGTGATTAAGTGCAAATACATAAAAAATGCGTGATGACAAATCGACGTATTCTGCGTAGTGACAAAGTAGTGGTAACCCGTAACTCGTATCTGAATAGCAACAGCTACACCCTTGAATGAAAGCAAAACTCACTTGAACCGGTGGTTCATCGGATGCAGGTGCCGAAAAATACGTCAGAAATAGTAAAAATGTTCTGGAGTCTTGTCACTAAAATGATCAGAGAAAAATAAGCAAAGGGAACAACGTACTGACACTAACACAACATAAGTATTAAACGTTAGTTAAATGTGGGAAACACTTCAACTATTGTAGCAGAACACTAAACTATAGAAACCAAAATGATGCGCAGCATCATACAATAGTACGCATCAGCTGTGAGTAGTTAGGGAAAGATAAGCGAGAGGTAAAGAAACAAGGTAAATAAAAACAAACACCGCTGAGGCCGGTACATCGCACTGTCAACAAGTGTATACAACTAAATTTGTTCATCGTCCTTCGGTCCCAGTCAGGCAGTCGACAGACACCAACCGACGTCAACTTCAAAGTGAGGCATTTCATTCCTCTTGACCAAATCATCAGTTGGAGCGCAAACAAAGCACGTCGCGGGAGTCGGTGTGCTGGCATGCGCAACACGTGGCCCAACCATAAAAGCCTGATGGGTGATATAACGGTCCGTCGCAACGAGACTGAACATTAACGTGGTGCGACGGTTTGCGTACCTTTTTGCCCCATTGAGCTATACTGAGTAGTGCCTCCGGGCACCTTGAGAGCTACTCCCACCAGGTAGGTCAATGGCTAATCAGATAAACTCCGTCTCCTGATTCTTCAGGTTGTGGGTTTGAATTGGGATAGCGTTCGTTTCCGTAAAACTACATCATTGCCACCTTCCCGCTGCCTTGCGGACAGGCTTTGGAGACAAAGGCTTTAGTTGAGGACTCTAATCGTCCTCCTGTCTAGGTCTGGGCGCCCTGGCAGTATTTCAGCCTACATACAACTATGACAGTTTCCTCAAACGTTAACTTAATCCTGCATCGGCCATCGCGTAGATTGTCAAGGGCCGCCTCATGTGCTGCATACACCAGTGCGGATAAGCGAAAACATGATACTGCTTGCGCCTCACTTCTTTCTTTTCCACCTGTCTCTCTTACTTCCCGCTCAACCCCCATTACTAACCTTTGTGCAGGAGTTCCCAGCTTAACTTACAGCAGCCGCAATGCCACTGGAGTCGAACCATCTGCAGCTAACTTCTCGCACACCCACTGAACACCTATCGGCATCAGTTCCTTATAAGGCCACGTTGTCGTTTCCTTGGCTTCCTTCAACGTTCGCACTTTAAGACAAATATGTCAACAGGTTGCATCAGCACCCAAGTTAGATACGCTGGGTATTGACTTGTTGCGTAGCCGAAACTAGGAGCAATGACCCTCATAGTGGTTGAAGTAACTGCATCCGGTTGCCCTCTCGCTAAAGATTGCATGAATCCGGAGACAGATGCGGCAGCCTGGACAAGCTGGAGTAGGTACCATACTCAGCTCCAAGGCTGAGTTATCGTGGGTTGATTAGATTCCGATGAACAGCCGTTCGTGTGGCAGTTAAACTGTTCGTTGAGCTTGACAATTCGGTTGCAAGGATTTCGTCACCAATCGAGATGACATCATCAGTGCGTTATTGCGTAGGCTGTAGCCAGTAGCGAAGCATAAGGACCTCTCGGTGAGAGTTAGGTGTGGTGTGTGGGCGTTTTTATATGTTCCTGTTTGGTCGCGGAGATGAGCAATCCCATTGGCTGAGACGTCTGTCTATGTTTAGATTGTGGGATAAAGGTTATCCGAGAAACTTTATCAGAAGAAGCTTAACGCAACAAACGCTTCGGCAACGACAGCAGTCAAAAGAGCATGGAAACAAATGAATAGTGCTCCCGTCCATCAACAACGCTCCAGAACTGACGAGGTTATCACCGTCACATAACATTACGGTGGGCCACAAACCAAGTGCCAACTTAAGGAAACTGCCTAAGGATAAAGTCCAGCGGAGCAACCAAAACAATGTTATCAACCAAATAAAATGCAGCGAATGTGACAGGAACTACGCTGGACAAACTGGAAGGAAGCTTCGTAAACGAATAAACGAGCACAAAGCCGTCATAAAGAGACATGATCCGAATTCGCTAGTTTCTGCACACGAAGATAAAGAAGGCTACCGCAACAATCTGAAAATGTGGAGATTCTGGCGTATGGAAGTGCAAAACATGCGAGGGAATTTCTGGAGGCACGGCACTCCACAGCTAATTCAATTTAACGACATATTGAACTTGACGCAGTATACGCCACACTACGGTCAAGGGAGCGCGCAAACCCCAATCAAATAAATCCGGTGGATCAGAACACCAGACAAACGTGGCGAACGAGATGAATGAACACTGGAGTAACCAGGCAAATATCAAAATGCACAAGCCAGAGGTCAAGGTCAAGTTAATATCTAACAAGCTGAACATAAGCAGACGTCTCAACCAAAGGGATTACTCATCTAAGCGAGCAAACACAGGAAACTATAAAAGCCCACACGCACTACACCCAACGCACACTCATTGAGGCTTCATTACGCTACGCTACTGGCTACTCAACAGCGCACTGATGATGTCACCTTGATGGGTGACGAAACGTTTGCAACCAAATTGCCAGGCTCAGCGAACAGTTCAACTGCCATCTGAACGACCTGAGCAAACCATCTTAGTTTCAATAACCAGCCGCTGGTGTATAGGCTGTTTGATGACATCGAACAAGGCTGATGCACGAAGACAGATGAGACGCTGTTTGTTGGTGGTTGCCGCTTACGCTCCCAACAACTGCAGTTGCGATGCTGCCAAGGACATATCATACCACGAACTGAACGCGCTACTAAGCAGTGCTACCAGTGCAGATACCATAATACATGCGGGGGATATGAATGCACAAGTAAGTCGCCTGGGCACTTCAGAAGATCAGCTAGGCGGTAATTATGGGCTTAATTCCGACCGAGGGGAAAATGGCCACCGTCTCTTGCAACTGACTGCGGAGAAACAGTTGCCTCGCATTAGCACCGCTTTTAGACAGGCGGAAGACTAAGCGCCACTTGGCATCCACCTATACCAGGGCAGCAATGAACCCAAATTTATCACATTGCCACAAGTTACAAGGGGCGTGGTTCCATCGTTAAGTGCCGCTCGTTCCGAAGTACTTGCATCGACTCGGATCATGTCTTCGTACGCTGCCGTTTCTCCAAGAAGTTTACCGGGAGGCGCATCAAGCGTAGCCTCCGATTGGCAACTGAGAAATTGTCTCAGCCCTCCGTCAGGTAAACGGATCAAGACGCACTGCGTACCAAATTTTCGCTGTCTTGTCCTAATGACACAGAGTTTCAGTGGAATATGATCTCGGTCGTCATGCACGCCGCAGGAGCATCTGCTTGTGGTGCTATCAATCGTTATCGCACCAGTCACTGGATATCCGAGAGGTCGGTGAACCTGTTGAAATCCAGAAAAAACCTCCCGGCTGGCTCTGAGCACAATGTGATCAGGCGGACTATTAGACGCGAACTAAAGCGGAGCCTGCGCGCTGACAAGGAAACCTGGTGGACCAGTAGTGCTCAAGAAATGGAGAAGGCAGGAGCAGTAGGCAATTACCGCAAGTTCTTCCAGCTGATCCACACCACTGGTCCCAGTAAACCAGGCGTCAGTGAGACAAACAGACAGCGCGGGTGCACTGATACACAATAAGGAGCGCCGTATGACCCGTTGGGCGGAACACTTTGAAGATCAGTACAGCTGGCCCCCAGCTCCCGGACCTCTTCCTACCCAGATGACGCAGAACAAGCTATGGACGGTTAGTTTAAAGCTTCCGTCGAAGGCCGAGGTCCGAAACGCGATCACAGCCCTCAATTGTTTCTGTGCCGCTGGCCCGGATTCTCACACAAAATCATTATTTAAGGATGGAGGTGAGATCTTCTGCAAAGCACTGACCTCCCTATTCGAACGTATCTGGAAGGAAGAGAGTATCCCGACTAACTGGAACGAATCGATTTTAGTGACAATATACAAGAAGGGCAGTCGCACAGACTGTTCTAACCACAGGGGTATTAGCCTAACGCCAGTTGTGACAAAAGTACTGGCCTCGATTCTCGTTCGTCGCCTCACTGTGGAACGGATTAGGAAAGAGCAGGCAAGTTTCCGCCCAGGACGTGGCTCTATAGATCAGATTCACTCCGCGGCAGGTGCTAGAGCAGCGCCACGCATGCCGCAGATAGCCAATAGCTGTGTAACTCGATTTCAAGAGTGTGTTCGATTCAGTCGACCGATCCATGCTGTTCGAAATACTTGCGCGGAAAGGTTCCCACGAAATATGTGAACATTTTACATGCTCTATACTCGAACACTACAGGCCGAGTCAGGGTCTACGGTGACTTGTCGGATAGCTTTCCGACAACAAATGGCGTTCGTTAGGGTTGTCCAATTTCCCCATTTTTGTTCAATTTCGTCGTGGACTCTATAATGTAGTATTTCCTTGCACATTCTCAAGACGCCATCGCAAAGAGGCTGGACCCTACCGTGGTGCGATGTTTTGTGTGCCTCAGTGACCCATTGATATATGCTGGGTGGTGCTTTTTGCACCTTCCCAGCCACTCATACCGCATTGGTCAATGGTTAGAGGCTAGACAAACTCAGCCTCCTGGTCCTCCAGGTTATAGGTTGGAATGAGGATGGCTCCTTATTCCTTAAAACGGTCTCCTTGTAGCCCAACGACAAACCCGCTGTCTTGCGGTAAGGTTTTTGAACCAAAAGCTTTGGTTTGGAACTCTAATCGTTCTCCTGTCTAGGACTGGGCAACCTGACAGTATTCTGCCCACGCAATACAATGAATTTCGCTTCAAACCAATTCCTAATGCTCTGGCCACTGCAGAGGATAATCAACGGTGCTTTATCTGCTTCATCCAGCAGGGTGGATAGGGGTTTGGATGCTACTGCTCAAGCCTTCCCGTCTACTTATTCCCCCCTCTTACGCTTTTTCACCCTTATCGTCCCGTTCCAGCTTCACTTTTATCCCCCTGTTTTCAACCCCCTAATTCTTGGCCCTCCACCTTGCTTCAATAGTCCCGTGGCTTCTAGTTCCAACTCGCATGTGAACGCGGAGCGTTATTCCTGTCTTGTCAACAAGCCCATGAACAAGCAAGCCGTCA